CCCCCCTTTATTCTCAATAAATCTTGGTTAAATTTTCTCAAAAAATATTAGCAAATAGAGGGTTCCTGACCAAGCCCCTTGAGGCAAGTCCAATTATAAATACCTGTACTTCCACAATAACAACTTTCTTTCTAACCTGTCATTAACCGGCTGCCATGTTTTAAGAGAAGAAGCTCTAGTACCAATGGGAATACCTAGGTAATGTGAACCGAAATTTACCAATTTGACAACCCAAAGCAGCATCAGTCATTTAACAAACTTTCATCAGTGTCTCCCACTCCACTACATCTTTTTTCATTATTAATGTGATAAAGGTAGCATTATCACCCTTCTCAATTGTTCCCAACTTGAACAAGATATGAAACAACTCCATGACCGATTTCTTTTAACTCCGTAATGCTTTATAAAAGCAAAATAATGCCATTGGGGCCTAGAGCAGCCTCTTCAATCTCCTCCAACACAAACTTTTCGAACAAAGTCTTTGCAGAATCACTAATATACCTTAGCCCAATGACACCAATGACCATATGCCTTCTTGATAAGGTGTATACAAAGACATGTAGAATCTCCTTATGACTTGAAAATATCCTCATGAGGCTCTACCCACTCATCTCCAACTCTCAACTTGAGATACAATTCCCTCTCACTAGTTTTCGCATATGCATGAAAGAATGATGTGTTTTTATCTCTTGCCTTCAGCCAAAAAGTTTTTTTTCCTCCAATAGATCTCTCTCTCTCTCTCTCTCTCTCTCTCTCTCTCAATCAACAACTATGAAATTTTATTAAGAATCAATAAGAAATACAAAGGTCAGAATTAAGGAGAGATTAACTCTCTTAACTCCCCTTGCAACAATTCTTACATATTACAACTGAGCTCGAAAAATATTATCTTTACCTGCCTCCAACAGATCTTAACTCCCCTTTGCAAAAGGCCTCTTTGATTATCTCTTTGAGTGTTCATCACATGAGACTGAAAATAAGAATCTGTCAAGCCTTCTAAGAATTACAGGTGATTTGACTGAACCAAAAAATATTTTGCCCCACTTAATGTGGGATCAACTAAACCCAAATTAGAAATGAACTCCCTAAATTTTCTCATATCATCACTCTCTCATCCCCCCCCCCCCCTTTCACGTCCCTGAGTTTCCTTATCACATTAAAGTCTCCACCTAAACACCACGAAAAACCCTATCTGTTCACTTTGAGGTCCTCCCAAAAAGCTTCTCTCTCAGGATCTTCATTTGATCCATGTGCCTTGGTCAACACCCACTCCCAGCCATCATTTTTATCTTAGAACCGAAAGGGTAATGAAATATCCATTAGAAATCCATGGTCTTGGAATCTGACAAGTGTTTGACAAAGATACTTCTACCACTTAGGAGAGACCATGCAACAATTTTTTAATAGGAAACAGTAGCTTTCAGAGACTATGCAACAATGACATCTGCAAAATCAGAACCTCCAGGAAAAACCTTAAGCAGTGAGATTTGATTGCCAAGATCTTCAACAGATCAACAGATTTTACAGCCACAATTTTTATCTCCAGACAAATACACGAGTTTTGTAATCTTTGTAAAAAAATATTTAATTTTCTACTATAGCATTCCTTACAGACAATATCTATTTGCTGCTAGCAAATTGTCTTGCCCTGGTAAGTTATTTAGGCTCATGTTTCTTTCCTTGTTTCTTTCTACCATCCAACTCAGATATGCCCTACTTACCCCTATTCATTTTATTTCTTTTCCATGAAATTGAGATTTATTACAGGTTTCCCTTCAGAGGATAAGAAGTCTTTTTATTTCTTTTCACCCATTAGCATTCCTCAAACTAAAAAAAAAAAAAACATTGCTCATCTACAAGAGGTTTAACAAGATCTACCAAATTATAAGAATTAAAAAATATAAAGAAGGATGTAACTTACCCAGGAGGCTTGCCATACTCTGTTGTCAGCTCTCCAAATCGATAGTAGGAAAGTTTGTACCTGCTCAGAACCACAGGTGATTCATTACAATCATGGAAATAAAGAAAATGCCAAAAATGTCCAAGGAATAATAGTTTTAGTTGTTATACAAGTGACAGAGATTTGAAAGCATTATAATTCTGTATTTACTTAGGAACAGGGGTTTTTCATCTTCATTTTCAATGTACTCTTGTCCTGATATAAGAAGAGTGTGGGTGCTGCCACACTCATGACTGGCTTTCTCACAATTCTTGAATTTTATTAGAAAAAGTCAAAATACATAGCAGTACAAGCATCCCAAGGAGATGTGTGAGATACACCTCTCACAACAATAAGCATCAATAAAACCAAAAGAAACAGATTTCAACTGAGTCCAATATAAATGATCCCTATTAACCCCTTGCTTAGCTAATGTATCAACCATCCCATTTGCTAATCTTCTCATCCATTGAATTTTTGAGGTCATATTGTTGATTGGACAAAATTTTAAGTTATTCCTTGCCAATCAGTTCAGGTTTTGAAGTCTTTGAGGGTTCAAGATGGCATACACCAACATGTGTGTTAAACTGTTGATTAAAACCCTAACAAATAAGAAAATAATAAAAAGAAACAGCAGTAAACAGACCCAACCCAACCCGTGAACAGCCCTAGTTTAGTTAGATATGCCTATTTTAGTATTACAAAATCAAAGATAAAGAACATAAAAAATATTTCATCGCATCATATACAAAATGGCTAAGTGCTTTGATTCCTTGTTTTTTCATGGTTATCTCAATAAAGAAAGGTTATAAATGCTATAGTCAAATTTCCCAAAAGGTATACTCCATGGACATCTTGTTTTTTGAGTTTCATACTTTCTTCTCTGCCTCTCCCTTAAAGTATAGTAATATTGAGAGAGGTTCAACTTCAATTGTCTATTCCTATTTCACATCTTGCTATTGCTCATGATCATATGCCTCCAAAGTTCTAGGTCTACACTAGTTGCCATAAGAMCCAGCCACTATCTTCAAGTTTGGAATCAGAAGTTATGCCTTCAAAGACATTACAATCCATTGATCAAATATGCGAGCAATGTTTTAAAACGTGGAGGCATGACGCGAGGTGTCCACTACCTAGAGGCATAAGCCTCCTTAAGAGGAGGGGGTTAGGAGGAAGGGGGGAACTCATTTTTTCTTTATTTTCAATAAAAATCTTTTATATTAAAAAGAATAAAGATGCATAACATTAGTTGAAGGGGGGGGGGTCTTGTCGAAGTGGAGGCAGGGGGTTTGGGGGGCAAACCCCCCAACCGAAGGGGCAGGGGGCAAACCACTTTCTTTCCTCTTATCTTTTCTTCCCTTCCCTTTTCTTTTATTTCCTTTTCTCTTTTTTCCTTCTCTTTCCTTTTCTTTCCTTTCCTTTTTTCCTTTTTTCCTTTTTTCTTTTTTTTTTGTCTTTTTATATAAGATGTGCATGAGGCTTACGCCTCTAGCACGTCTCATGAAAAAAGTGCATGAGGCGTACGCCTCAGAGGTGTCAGTGCCTTCGGCATACGCCTCAGGGCATTTTGGGAGCGCCTCGCATGGAGGGGCAGCTCCAGGTGTATGCCTCCCACACCTTCTAAAACACTATATGCAAGTGAGCTCTTCTCTTTCTCAGCCAAGTACTTTTGACTCCACAACCTGTGATATCATCTACCTATTGCTATTTGCAAGGGTGTCAGATACATTTTAAATGGGTGAGAAGAACTGCAAATGGCATGGCAGATGCTTTAGCTAAACGAGGGACAAATAGGCAGCAATTATTTTGGGATAAATTGTAAGGATGGGTATGGGGATTGCAGTTCTAGTTATATTTGATAAGGCGCCCTTGGAGGCTTGCCTTGCCTAATCGCCAAGAATTTCTATACTTTCTATTATAAAATACTTTTTATTCTTTATTTTTTGAGATTTATAAAATAGACATTATTAAACTAAAATGTTCATTTTGTGTGTTTATATACTAATTTTGTTTTATTGTTTCCTTATTTGTTAGGGTTTAATCAACACAAACATTGCTAAATGCTGTATTGAGCCCTCAAAGACTTCAAAACCTGAACCAATAAGGTAGAACTTAAAATCTTTGGCCCCTATTATTAAGGAAATATGGTTATGGTTCCTAGGGAACTACCCTAGGATCTATGTTTTTTACTTAAAAAAATCCATCGCCTATGTGACTAGGCGACAAGGCACCCCCTGTCGCCTAGCCTTACCTTGGCGCCTTGAAAACTATGATTGTGGGTAACTTACCCACAGATTTGTATCCTCAATTTTGATATATTGCTTAATAAAATTTACCTTTACTAATAAAAAAGGGTGCCAGATACATTTCATTTTACGTGCTGCTTTATCTCCATCCTGTTGAGCTTATGTACTCGCTATTTGTACTGTATCCAATCCTAAAAGTGCTGCTGATAAACGAAGAAGAAAACCTTTAACCAGAAAGGCTGAAGGTTGAAGACCACATGGCACAAGAAGAGATACATGGCGGACTGAAATTAGCCCAAGAGGAAGTCAGGTCTACTTTCACACAAAAAAAAAGGAACTGTTTGAGCAATAAAAGGCAAGGAGGTGCTGACAGAACTTGAAGGTAGATCTAAACTTTAACTGTTTATTAAGCAACAAATGATTGAGCTAAAAAGCTATAGAGATGTGGTAGTTGGGCAACCAAGAGTTGGTTTGAGAAGTTGACAGTTATTGATCAATAAGAGTATCGAGACAAGGAGGAGACATGTGGAGGTGCATCTGATAATAAAGTTGGCAGATCAAGGGCTCGTATGAGAAATGAGACAATGCAAGGAAATGCAGGACCCCAACTGGCAGCAAGCTAAAATACAACAGGGGAACCGGTCCAGGTCAGGTGAACCAAATTGAAGAAAAAGAACCATCACGTGAACCTGATTACTTAAAACAAACATGTGCTTATCGAAGGCCAATTAACTTGAAAGTATAGCAACCACCGTCTATCATTGTCCTCCTCTGGTTTGAACAATGAAATTCTGCAGGGCACCAATGCTCAAAATTAACCCAACCCAACAAACCACCCAGTACACAAGACATATCCTAATCCACATCTCCACACCAATCATCTTTCCAAGAGACCTTATTAGGCTCTTTGACTTTAGACTTCTTGAATAAAAACAACACCATCCACAGGAATAGCATGTGGGGACGGACCATTACTAATTGATAAATTATGTGATTGCTTTTGTTTCACTAGAAGTGTATTAGAATTCTTTGAAATGCAAGAAATAGAATAGTCATGGTTAGGATAAAGATGGAAACCCTAGTCCTAAAATCCATTATTTCCAAGAAGTCTGTCTCACATCTCATGAAATATTTCCTAAAATAAATACTACTATATTTTCCTAGGACAAGTTGGTTTATCAGCATTCATAATATCTTTAATAATAAGATAAGATGCCTATGATTCAGTTAGAAGTCTGCCTCACATCTAATGAATATTTCTTAAAATAAATGCAACTATATTTTCCTTAGGGCAAGTTCGTTTATCAATGCAGCATCCATAGTATCTTTAGTAATAAGATACACGCCTATGCTTCAGTTTGCACCCAAATTTCTAACTAGGATTTGGCTGCTATTTCTGCTGATTTCTCATCATGGAAGGAGGACATAGTTGCACATTAGCAATAATCACACTCCTATCTGAGTTGGTGCTTCTTTGGATAATGAATTGCTTGTTATAATGGTAAAATCTTGGGCTGACAAGCATGAGAAAGCAGATTCAAGTCTGAGAGCATCAGTTTTGTGCAAAAAAGTCCTAATGTTAGGTCTGTGTCCAGTCCACCCCTCCCAAGACCACAGATAGCTAGGACGAACATCAGGTAATGGCCTTTCAATTGCTTCCTAGAAAGCAACTCCAAATGACTCTTGGGGACTATTATACATCAAACTCCACAGAAAAGATGTCTGACTTGGAAATATCAAATATATATGCATGGTTCAAAGTATTGATACATAACACTGCAACTTAGGATGGGTTGGGTTGGGAATTTATTAAATTTCCAATAGGCCCAAACCCAAAACCGAACTCAATGTAGTGGAAATTCTTCAAATTGGACAACCCAATTTGCAGCCCTATTGAAACATATTATACCTTATTGCATGACACATGTCAATTTTCAGGGTCACCAAAACGCAAAATACTATGATTTAGGACATGTAGCCATGTTTAATGGTTAATACCCTTCCAAGAGATGGCCTAGTTCAAAGCTTGAAACCTGAAACAATTTTGATGTGTGAGTCTTGCCGCTTTGAATCACACAAAACACAAATTTTGTATGTCACACGACTCACACATATTTGTACTTTGAACCATGTATACATGTAAAGTAGATTAATACTAATCACACAAATCACCCCAACAACATTTCCCTTTCCACTATAAACAAGCAATAACAATATTATTCACTTTTCTTTTATGAAAATGAAATGAAGTCGGTAAGGCTCAGAAGCATACATGAGACAGTTCAACATCTTGGGCGCTGCACCCTTGTCAACACGATACTCTCCATTAACAAGGTAATCAGGTTCCTTGATGACAGGGAAAACGCCACCTCCAATCCGAACCATCCACAAAAATCTAGTACAGCATGCATGCCATCAGTATAATATGACAACAAATATAGGAATACATACACAAGAAATGCCACTTGATCTTGAAAGTGCCAATCAGGAAATTAAATAGTATATTGGAGAATGCTTATATCGATAAAATTGATCCCACAGTGACATAAGCTTAGTTAAAAGCAATTTTCAATATGCACCAGACATTAATGATAAGTTAAAGAAACTTGCCCTAGTAACAAAGATGTTTCTATTTGATAAATGGTGTTCCTTGCCTATCTCAAGCAAAACATAGCATAAGATATCATACTTAATCACACGTTTCTTTAATTAATGCATATCATACCAAATCAAATGTATCTAATCAATGTTCTGAAAAATGAACATACAGTACAACATAATGTTGAAACATTGGTTCTAACCATTGTACAATGCCATAGTGTGTCTTTAGTTCCCTATAAATCATACTATAAGTTTTTTTATCATCAACAATAAATATCATTGTACTGATTTGTTATGGCAACCCTGCACTCTATACTCCACAAAATGAAGTTAAGGAACTAATACAACAGTTGAGGCTGATGTGTCTGTAAAAACACAAATACTATCAAATTACCACAACAAGAGGGCCTCTGAGATGGCGTTAAAGGGAGATTTTGTTAAAGATGGTTTATTGAACAAAAGGTTCAAGTCCTTGAACCGCTATTTAGTACGAAGATCTATGAGTTCAGATCCTGAAACATGTGATGTCGAAATTTGGGCAAAAAAGAGTGGGGAAGACTAGACTTTTCACGAGCTAGAAAAATAGGACCGTGTATTTTTTTTGTTTAGTTTCAGGAGAAAAAAGGATATGAGCAAGCCTTGAAACAAGAAGAAAACAAAGGAAGAATAAGATCACCTGAGATGTGTTTAGACAAATGGTGTCCAGGAGTAGGACAAATAGTGAAGCAACATAAGTTTGTATGGATTTAAGTGTTTGGAATCCCTCTTCATGCTTGGAGCACTCAAAGAATCAAGGAGATAGAAAATGATTGCAGTAGATTTAAAAGATTTGACTTTCATAATTGGATTTGGGAGCAGGCTCAATCTGCGGAAATTTTAATAGAAACAGAGAACCCTAGTTTAATTCCTCCACTGCTTAACCTCTTCTATGCAGGGGAAATTTTTGTGTTGCATGTGGAAATGGGGTGTTGCGATCCAACATTTGTAAGGATTGACAAGGAGGAAGATAAACAGTTGGACTCGACGGGAAAGAAGGGAGATGAAGGGTCAAGAAAGAAAAAGGGCAAAGGTGCAATTTTTCAAACTTTGGAGGGAAACAAGGGAAGCTCAACTAATTTAAATGTAGGTGACACTGATTCGAAAAAATGGGATAAGGGACCAATTAACAAAAATTGCTGTTCAAATCAACTAGGCCAAGATATTCGGAAGAGCTTAAAAGCCCTAATGTGTTTGAGTTTGAAAATGATAGACGTGATGGAGTTCCAAGACAGGAAGAGAATTTGAGCATTACAAGAGAGCCAATCAGGAAGGAGACTGAAGTATGAGGAAAAGGTAAATACCAGTGGCACATCACACACAATGAATACCACCAGGATTGTGAAACTCTAGATAGATTTGAAAAGAAGAGAAAGGTAGAGAATTGAAGGGTTGTCCTAATGCAGGTAATTGGGTTGGGTGAGAAAGGAATTGAAGATTTTGTAGTCAGTCAAAATAGTGGTGTGAAGGAGGTTGAAAGTAATATTGATATAGGACATTGAAGAATTGAAGACTTACGAAGGGGAATGGTGGAACTAGGGGTTAAAAGAGATTTTATTGAAGGAATTATAGAGTCTCAAAATTCCTATTCGGCAGCTAATAAGTTTTCAGTGGTAAGTGATGTCTGTGTTTTTCCTACTGATTTTGAAATCAGGAGTAAAATAGTGTTACAAAGGCGATGGGAAAAGGAGAAGAGACACAACTGACTTATGAAGGTTTTACAGACAATTCATAAGAGCTTGAAGAATAGGAAAGAAGTATATCTGAAGCTGTGGTGAACAGGGCCAAAGCCAGGGTGTGTAAATAAAATGGAAGAGATAATTTAAATTTTGAAAGTGAGGTGGGAAGTGAAGCTAGTGGAGAAAAAGGGATTGGGAAGAAGCAAACAGCAAGGAAGAAATTAAAAAAAAAAAAACAAAGAAAGAACAACAACAAAGATTTGAGTTCATCAATACAAATTGGTGAGAAATATCTATTGTCACATCATGAACATATGAGAGTCACTTTTGTTCTTCCTTCTTTGCCTTTGAGTCCTAATTGGGATCTCGGATTTCGTAGGGGTTTGAGGGATGAGGAAGCAACTTGTCTCCTTCTCCTTGATGGTGTTTGTTTAGAGCTTTCTTGTCCAGATAGAAGAATTTGGTTCCCAAGTTCTAAAGGTTCTTTTTCTTGTGCCTCCTTTTTTAAAGCTCTTTGTCCTTTCCTTGGAAAGAAGTGTGGTTTCCGTTGATTCCCCCTAAAATTCAGGCCTTCTGTTGGGAAATGGCTCTTGGAAAAATTAACACTCTGGATTATTTGCAAAAGAAGAGGCCTTTTCTGTGTATTTCCCCGAATTGGTGCACTCTATGCAAATCTGATGGCGAATCTTGTTACCAAACTTACCATTTACTAATTTCCTGTTCATTTGCTTCAGATATATGGGATTGGTTTTTCTCTTTGTTTGGGTGCAGGTGGAATATGCCAACGGAGATAAAAATGCTGTTTGACCCATCTACCTTTGTGTTACCGAAGAAGAGGGGAAGAGTAATGTGGAAGTACACTAGAGCAGCAGTGGTGTGGACCTTGTGGGAAGAAAGAAATGCCAGAATTTTCCAAGAGAAAGAAAGGAGCAAACAACAAATTGTGGAGTGTGTAATGACTAGGGTTATACACTGGCTACAAACGGTGGAACTATTCAAAAATTTCACATTTGATGATATTTGGAGGAATTGGTTAGTGGCTTCTAGCTCAATGCAGAAGGTTAAGGCAAGGTTGGTTTGGGCTCCTCCCATTGAAGGATTTCTGAAATTAAACTTCAATGGGTGTAGTCAAGGCAACCCAGGCCCAGCTGGAATAGGAGGGGTCATCAGAGACAAGGAAGGAAATTTAAGAGCACTCTTCTCAGGACCAGTGGGGAATGGAGACTCTTTAAAGGCAGAATTATACGCAGCCATACAAGGTATACAGATAGCAAGAGAGCTAGGATTGGAAAATTTGGTGATAGAAGGGGACTCCAAGGTGGTGGTGGGTTGGCTAAAAAACCCAGATTCAGTGATCTGGGCTTACAGAAATGAATTGAAGAAATTCAAATGGTTAACTCAGTAGATGGAGGTAACTATACAGTGGGTGGGGAGGGAGACAAATGCTTTTGCTGATTCTCTAGCTAAACAAGGGGTAACTAGGGAACAGTTGCACTGGGCTCAATTGTAAATTTATGATGTTTCTGTACCAATGAGTGAGGCTGCATCTCACACCTCATTTTGGGATGCTTGTAACAAACATTTTATCATTTGCTTCTAATGAAATCAATTGAATTTTATCTATCAAACAAAAAACATATGAGAGTCACTTCCACTAGATATATGCATGTATAGTATTGATAGTGATCACTGGTGCTTATAATTGAAACATCAAATCTGACACTTTAGATAGAAAGATGTGAGTATTAAGATTGTCACCAGATGCTAGGTGTTGAACAGGAACATGTTAATGGCATTTATGTAAGAGAAAAGAAGCCAAAATTGGGATTTTCTAATTTTTGTATTTTTAGATGGTAAGGAAACTTTGGCCATTTTACATGTCACCTATGAGGTCTGCCCTAGTTTGATTTTCCTAGTCATAGTTTGGGTGTATTAAAATTTTCACAGCCATTAGTAAGTGGTTTACTAGCTCTTAAGTTTTCTTATGGTAGATGGTAGTGACGATTTTGTAATTTCTGTTTTTCCTAGTTCTTGTAGGATTGTCCACCCTTATAGTGTTTATACATACATGTGCAAAGATTTGGAGTCATGAAGGAATGAATTTTATTTTATTTTTTGATAATAACGAATTGAATTTTATTTGAGGTCTTATAAATTATTCTATGTTTTATAGTTGATTCTTTGCACCCCATTTAGTGATTCCTAGTTTTCTCTCTTTAATTTTTCAAGAAGATATTGCAGATAGCCCTCAAGTTCCTTAACAAAAGGCATTCTTTCAACATTAGCAAAAGAATGGAATTGATCTAGGCAAGTTTTTCCTTAATTTTCAGCACAAGCCAAAATAAATGGAACCCTAGATTCCATAGTTTTCAACTTTTCTCCCAACCCCAGAGTTTTCATTCGTTTGTGAAAAAGGTGCTCCAAAACTAACCAAAGCTAGTTGCCCTGTACAATTTCTACCCATGAAATTTCACTAAAAAATTTCTATCCTAGACCTATTTTCCCCATTTCTAAGTTGTTCGCCATCATAGCAAAAATCTACAGTTTTTGCAATAAAGTTCCTAGAACTTTTCTAACTTAATCCATCTTTGTTTTTGGTCCTAAATCACCCATAAACCCATCCAAATTCTCCTGGCCAGCTAGTCTCATGCTTTGGTCATTCAAGTCTTATATCAATTCATATCAAAGCAAGAGGTCCTACATTAAGTGGTATCAAGGCTATAGGTCATACGTCAACCGTATTCACCATGAAGTGTTTTTATGAGCCTATGATAATAAGTTAGATTGAGGAAACTAATATTCAAGGTGTGTGGGTAAATCCTATTCTGCTGAGAGTTGATGTTTTTTTTTTAAAGGTAAAGTATAATGTATAAACTCAAAAGGTATATGGTCCTCTGTACAATGACAAAAATAGGCCTCAAAAAAACTTCACCCACAAAAAAGAAACATCAAAAAGAATCATCTTGAAAGCATTATGAATAGACAGCCAATCTCTAAGAAGTCCAACCACCATGCTAATGACTACTGCTTCCACTGAAGCTTTCTGCTAAAAAATTTTGCAATTTCTTTCACACCAAATAGTTCAAAAGATTGCTGAGGGAATGAGCAACCAGAAAACTTTCCCTTTCTTAGTCATAACAGCAGCCTGCCATTCCATGTGGTTGCTGTTGATGGAAAGTGTTTCCACAGTGAATCATTTAAAAAGTAGGGGCTTCTATTTAGTTAAGTAAATGCGTTATGTGTGGAGAGTATGTGAATCATTTGAAAAAAGATTTTTTATGGATGTCCTTTGCATGGATATTCAGAAAACCCAAGCATGACCCAATTAACCCAAAGGAGAAATTTTTCTAAGTCACCGGCAATATCAGGAAACATCAAGGCAAAATTTTTCTGGAGTTCAATCATTCTTTTAAGGGTTTTTAGTGTATTGTAATAGTCAGGTTAGTACAAGTTAATAGGAACTTGGGTGGGGACAGAACAGGATGCATGTGAGGCTCACTGGCCATGCCAGTGAAACCTTGCTATTATTCCACAGGATTGATCCCATGTCTCCTCTTTTGAATGATGCTGACCATCTTTTACTAGGATCTTATATGTTTTGTCTAAGACATATATATGTTAGATGACTAGATGACTAATTGGTGACATTAAGATCTTTTAAATGGTAAAAGACCTCTGCTTTCTATTTTTATTTTTATTTGCTTCTTTTAGGTAGGTGCTAAATCATAATAAGATATTCTGGCATGTATCTTAAAGAATAGACCAGAGAAAAAAAAAACAAACAAACGGGATGGATATTGAAAATAAAAGCCCTTGAAAAGTATGCTTTCAAATGTTCAAATCATCAAGTTAGGAAGCTTTTTATGGAAATTAAACATGAAAAGGAACATAATATTTCATAAAAATAATGCCATGCTATTCTACTATACTAGAAGAGATAGGACTTTCTTCTTTCTAGCAAAAACCTCTCATTCCTTACTTGTTGATGTCATCAGAAGAATATCCAGTAACACCTCCAAATACAACAAGCACATAATCCACATCCAGCGATCTCATTATCTCATATGCTTCATCCTCATAAGATGACATTGCACGTCCTACAGTGGCAATGTGTGTATTGTTCCATGTGTTGTTGTCTACAATAACAGTTCTATTCCCCATGGCAGTTATCTGGTAGCCATAATCCCACCAGGACATCACTTTAGCATCTGGAGGAGTATTCTGACGAAGCCAGAAGTATGCCTCACGGTAATCATCAAAAATAACCCTGCCACCATGGGCACTCCTTGCAGCCAAGACTATAGAAGGAGAAGAATATGCCTCTGATGTGACCCAGGTGCAATGGGTAACATATCTACTTAGCAAATAAAAAGCTCCTAGAAGTAATGCAATAGCACCATTTCCTTGGAAAGGCAGGGACTGATCCAGCGATGCCTAAAACATGGAGCAATGGCTTAATCATAATGAACATAATAGCAGAACAATTACCAAAAAAAATGGAACATTATAGCTTAAAGAGAAGAATAACAACAATACATTTTATTGATATTCTTGAACTCAAGTGCTTTGCCAAGATACCAATTTGCCTTGGAAATCAGCAATAATAATCAGAAAATAAATTAAAAACCAATGATCAAGGAAGCAAAAACTAGCGGAAGAGATCATTGGAACCATTGCGAGCCCCCACTAACTTATATATTAACTGCTGAGATAATTATGATAAATTACAGGAATGTCCCTTGTTAGGTGGCAGCAATAAAAAACAAATATAAACAAACAACACAAATAAGGCCCACAGTCCAACAACAGTACGGCCAACAGATAAATAAAATAATAAAGAAAAGAAAGAAGCAGCAACTAGGCCCGCTGCTTAACAGACTCTATACCCAAAATCATCATAGTGATGCCAAGAAACAGAGTTCAATTAAATGGCATTACAGCCATGACATCATGGGCTTGGTAGCAGGTTCTGACAAGGAAAGAACCCAGTGCCTATGTGGGATTGGTGGTGTAAGACAATCCCACACTAGTGAAGTAAGATGTTGTAAGTGCAACAGTGGAGGTGGGGATCTCCGGCAGAAATTATGGAGAAATTTGTTCCGGCAACCAGGTGGAAGAAAGTCCTAGCTGTGGAGAAAAAGACTCTTCTATTGGAAGAACTAGGTGGAGCTTCAGCGGTAAAAATCAGAGATGGCAAACGATCTATGGTTATCTTATGTAGGGAGGCTTCAAGCTGGTTCAAAGGATTCTTAGATGGCATATTATTTGCCATTACAGAGACAGATTGGAAAGGGGAACTTTGTGTGCCGAAGAAAAAATTCATAGTGGAGAAGAAGAAGAATGACGGGAGAATTCATTCAACTGACTGAAATGTTTGGAAGGGGAAAAAGGCAAATTATTTGCATCCCTGCTGGAAAGGAGAAACAGAGGTGGCTGCAATTTGCGAAGGCCCTGGATGAGTATGAGCAGAGACTGTGGTTACTGGAAAGATAGTCAGAAGGTAGGAATGCACATCGTCCACCTGTTACGAAGCATTCTTCAAAATCTCCGTGCAACTAGGAAAAGATGATGAGAGTTGGGGGTATCTGTGGTAACTACCTCTGCTCAAAACTGATGGCCGACAGCGGTTTGGAGGAGTGGTGAAGAAGAAAGGTGGTTAGAATGGGTAAGAAGGTGGATAACTGGGAAAGAGTGCTACAGGATGTAGTGGCCTCTGTGCCAACGACGGAAAAGGCATTACTTCGTCCATTTGGGGAAACAACAGCAATTTTAGATATGGATAGTAAAGCTAAAAATCTAATCAAAGTATCCACAAGAGAGGGAGTAGCGTCAGTGGAAAACTGGAATCCCTCTTGTAACAAGACGGAGGTAGATTATGAGTCCTTTCGTCTGAAAATTGTGGGACTGCCCTTTAATCTTTGGACAGAGGAAATATCTCTTCAGATTGCAGCAATATGTGGAGGATTCATTCTAGATGTGGATTTGTCTGGTTTCCAAGGTTGATCGAAGTTTTCTCAGACGGCAGGTAGAGGCAAGTGTGGGTTGCGTCAGAAGTTGAATCGTTCCTTTGGGAGAAAGGGCAAAAGGTTGAAAATGATTACGTGGCAGATAGAAGGCCACATGGCGAGGAGAGAAAGAGAGACATGAATGCTGATCTTGGTTTTCCCCCAAAAGAAAATAAAAAGTCAGGTGAAATTAATTCAGGCTCCATTTTCCCAATTTAAGCTGGTTTTTCAAACTGTTTTGAATTTTGATGGAACAAACCTGTGTCCTACATGGAAGCTTTAAAAGGAGAAGGAAGTAAGGCTTCTAAACCAGGGGTGAACCAAACAGTTGGGCCAGATTGCTTTCCGCCCTCACGTGCGGGGTTGTGGAGGGATCGATGGGGGACACTGTTCTATCATCGCCCCCATCAATCCCTAACAGCAAATCCTCTGGGAAACAGCCACATTTACAGTGGGCTAGTCGACCTCCTTCGATGCAAGAAAAAACCAATCCTAGGTACGCAAGATCAAAGGAAATGCAGGGGGATGAAGAAGACGACGGTCAGTGGATAAGCTGTGAAGTTTATGATGAGGATAGCCTTTCCGATGAAGAATCCAGTATAGGAAGTGTGGACAGGACTATCCAAGTTTGCTTCGAGGGTGAAGAGAATTTGTGCACCAGTGATCTGTTCGCCGCAGAAAGGGTCAGCGAGACTTAGTTTCAAGAGAGTTCTGTTGTTAAGTTAAAGCCGTTGAGCAAGTTATGCAGGGGGAGAAAGAATTCCATGAAAACCTTGGCAGTTATATGGAAATAACGTTGGAAGGGCAAGTGCAAAATGGTGTTAGCTTAATAAATCATGCCCAGGATCAACAAGAGTCATCCTGTTCACAGAAATAGTGTAGACTTCTCTCTGTCGAGCAACAAAAGTTGGAAGAGCAGAGGACGAATGTGCAGGGGAACTGTAGGACTACGAAGGAGTCTCCTCCAAGGGGCACAGAACCAAGAGCTGAAATGTTTATGGTATCCATGGATCACATTCAACCAGAAAAACCTGATGTCTAGATGGCCGACCACGATCTGAAACAGGGGGATAAGAAACCTGAAAATCCCCCTTCTGTTGTGTCTGCACCCAAGGTTCTAAATATCGATACAGGCTGATATGCCGGTAGGGCAAGGTGTCTTGGAAAACCAAGATAGGGAAAGGAGATGGTCTTTAAAAAAGGAGCTAGGGGTTACTCTCTTGAGAGAGGAGATAAGTTGGAAGCAGAAATCTAGGGAGAAGTGGATTAAAGAAGGTGATGGAAATACAAAATTCTTCTATGTGTTAGCAAATGGCAGGAAAAGAAAGAGCTCAATTTCTTCTTTATTGGTGGAAGGTACTGAGATCACAGATCAAGGTGACATTGCTAAGGCCTTTGCTGGCCATTTCAGATCAATTTATCGCAGGCCAATTAATGAGAGGTGGTCACTTGATGGATTTGATTGGGAGTGTTTGGAAGAAAATCAAGTGGAATTGTTGGAGAAAAGTTTTGAGGAAAGTGAAATTAAGTAAGCAATTTTCTCCATGGATAGATCTAAGGCTCCGGGACCAGATGGATTCACTATGGCATTCTATGAAGATTGTTGGGAAACAATCAAAGATGATTTGATCAAAAGTGTTAAGGAAATTCCACAGAAGGGGGAGAACTAGTCTGGGGATGAATTCAACTTTTTTAGCCTTGATCCCAAAGAAGAAAGATGCCACCCAGCCAGGTGATTTCAAGCCTATAAGCTTAGTGACTAGTATCTGTAAGGTAATTGCCAAGGTGCTTTCTCTGAGACTTAAAAAGATTCTCCCCTTAATCATTTCTTAGTTCCAAGGGGCCTTTATTCAGGATAGACAAATAGTTGATCAAATCTTAATTGCAAATGAATGTGTGGAAGCTCAAAAATGGTTAAAGAGAAAGGGAGTGGCAATTAAATTGGACTTAGAGAAAGCCTATGATCTAGTGGATTGGGAATTCTTGATTAATATCATGAAGAGGTGTGGTTTTGGGAATGTATGGTGTAAATGGATTAGAGGTTGTTTCCAAACAAGTCAATTTTCTGTTTTAGTGAATAGATCGGCAGTTGATTTCATTTAAGGCTTACGAGGTCTTAGACAAGGTGATCCACTCTCTCCCTTTCTATTTACATTGGTGGCCGAGGTATTAAGTAAGTTGATTTTAAAGGCTAGATCCTTGCAATTGTTCAAAGGATGGATAATAGGAAGAGATAGAGCTTTGGTCTCTCACTTGCAGTTTGCAGATGATATCCTCATTTTTTGTGATGGAGAAGAAAGAGAGGGGGTAGAAAATCCGAAGTTAGTAGTGAAGCTCTTCGAAAGGATCTCAAATTTGAGAATCAATTGGTCTAAAAGCTTAGTGGCTGGTATTAATGTAGAAGATGATGAGCTGAAGTCAATGGCAGATTTATTGGGGTGTGAAAAAGGAAATTGGCCTTTGTGTTATTTAGGTTTACCCCTTGGTGGCAACCCTAGATCGGCTAGTTTTTGGAAACCAGTAGTGGAAAGATTTGAGAAAAGACTAGCAAGCTGGAAAAGGAATTATATTTCTTTGGGTGGGAGAATTACATTGATCAAATCCACTTTGGCAAACCTCCCAGTGTACTATATGTCGGTTTTTAGGATGCCTCAAGCTGTGGTAAAAAGAGTTGAAAAGATAATGAGAGATTTCCTTTGGGAGCCTGGTGAAGGGAAGAAAGATCATTTGGTTAGATGGGATAAGGTGATGCAATTGAAGATTGAGAGGGATCTGGGCATTGGAAATATTAAGTTGAAGAACCCGACCTTATTGAGTAAATGGCTCTGGAGATTTCCTAAAGAAAATGAGAGCCTGTGGACTAGTTATTTCAAGTATCCATGGGCTGTCAAACAACGGTTGGGATGTGGGCTGCTGCTTACATAGAGCTACTCTAGCTGCTTCTTGGAAGGCTATCCATGACAATCTTCCTATGTTCTTCAATCGCATAAGGTATGATTTGGCTTTGGGTCAGAAAATTAGATTTTGGGAGGATATGTGGGTAGGGGAAGCCCCCCTTTCAGAGGTTTTTCCTTCTCTCTTTGAGCTTTCTAGTTTCAAAGGTAAACCTATTTGTGATTTTATCAGCTCTTCCTCATCCCTTTCAAACCTAAGTTGGAATCTTGGCTTTTACTAGCAATCTGACAGAATGTGAAATTTCCAATGTCTCAGTTTTGCTTCTTCTGTTGAGTTCAGTATGTTTGGGGGAGGGTAGCTCAGATTCTAGAGTGTGGACCCTTAGTCAGTTGGGCTCTTTTTTTCCTATAAGTCCTTTTTAAAATCTCTTATCTCCACCACCCCCTCTCCTCATTTCCCTGTTAAGGAGATATGGTCTCGGCCCATCCCTCCAAAAGTTGGTGCTTTTTGTTGGGAAGTGTTTCATGGCTCCATTAACACTTGTGATTTGCTTCAGAGGAAAAGACCAAAGTGGTGTCTGTCCCCAAGTTGGTGCTCTTTATGTAAGTTGTATGGTGAGACTGCCTTTCACCTTTTGATCTCCTGTCCTTTTGCTACTTCTATTTGGGAGTGGTTTTCATCTCTTTTTGGATGCAGTTGGCTTCCCCCAATTGTCTGGAAGGTGTTTTTAGCTCTCACCTTTTCAGCTGCCCTAAAAGAAGAGGCAGAATTATGTGGAGATGCACTAGAGAAGCAGTGATCTGGACAATTTGGGAGGAAAGAAATCTAAGAATCTTTGAAGACAAGGAAAGAAGTAAAGAAGCTGTGATTGAGGTGATTACTCTCAGAGTAGCACATTGGGTGAGCACTTTAAAGCTCTTTGCTGACTTTAAGGTTGAAGATTTCTGCAGATCGTGGGAAATAATTGCAGGTTCTTCGTCTAGAAGACAGATTGTTCATGAGGCCTGGTCTCCTCCATGTGTTGGGTGGAAGAAATTAAACTTTGATGGTAGTTGTATGGGCAATCCTGAACCATTGGATATTGGTGGGGCAATTAGGGAAGAAAATGGAAACATTCTAGCTTTGTACTCAGGTCCTATTCAGCATGGAGATGTGGTGAGATCAGAATTATTGGCAGCAGTCTATGGAGTAGAGAAAGCTAAAGAAATGGGGATTACTAAGCTGATTATTGAAGGTGATTCAAAAGTAGTTGTGAGCTGGTTGGAAAAGAGGGAAGGAATCATATGGAAGTTAAGGAATGAATTCAGGAGATTCAAGCAGATTTCTAAAGATAGATGATCCAAATAAGATGGATTAGGAGGTCTGCAAACAGTTTGGCTGATGGTCTGGCAAAGCAAGGAACTCAAAGACACTCTATGTTCTGGGCAATTCTGTAAATAGTGAATAGTTTCTGGGTGGGCTTTGCTTTTGTGCCCACTGCCCACAAATCTTTGTTGTACCTCTTTTTTAATCTAAAGAATCAATTTTGTGTTGCTGATCAAAAAAAAAAAAAGAAAGAAACCAGTTCCTATGTTCTAAATGCCAATACACATGTAGCAAGCTCCTCCGCAAACAAGGTTCACATCAGAGAGGCAGACCCTACGCTGAAAACACTGAAATGCCCAACAGACACACACCTACTTAAAACATAAACTCTAGCATTTTCTTTGAAGCAACCTAAATGGCATTATTAAGATATAACTATAAAAGGTATCCTGTGGAGCCAATTAAAACATATTTTTATTTGAAAGCTGCTAAGAACTAAAATATGCTGAAAAATAAGAAACCAGACACTCTTTCCATATTAAATCAGCAATTGGACACTAAATTTCTGATATGTTAAAGGCCCCTTGAATCCCAAGGATCCTTTGCAAGAAAATTCAAGTTATAAGAAAATAAGGAACTTAGACCATTGGTCTCGATTTATACAAATTAGACAGAGCCTCATTAAGCAAAATGAATGACCAGTTTGCTGATATGCTCAGATAAAAACATCCATGTGATAGAATATGAAGCCTTAGTTATAAATAGGCAAGCGCTTACCTTGTAAGAAGCCTTCATGCTGCTAGTTCCTTTGATAGAGCCAGTTGGTTGAGACTTGCTCTTCATCCGTACCAGTGAGCTCAAGTTCTTTATAGTGGCAGATACCGCAATTGCACTGACAAGGCATACTGCAGGTGCAGCAACAAGAATTAACCGAACCATTACACCAGCAAAATACATGCTTGTGAGACCATACATAACTATAAATATTGTGGCATCCGACAACCGCTTGAAACAAAAGTACAGGCCGGCTGGAAAAAGGAAAAGCTGGATGTGAAAGTCAAACATGAAAGAGGACCATGCTGTTGGCTGATGCTCAGAGACAGATGCTATAATTGGGATGTGATCCTTTGCATATGTTGGATCAAGTAAAGAGTAAAAACGACCAGTCCATGGAGAGATATACCCAGATGCCATGCCAACTCCAAGAGCAAGAGCACCCAAACCTACTGTACATGTCACAGTGATCCTCAAGAAAGCTTGAAATAATTTTGCATCACCTAGCAGGTGCTTAACCCAATCCAAGAAGTAAAATACCTACACCAATCATTATACATTAGACTCCCATGACAACTTTATATGCTTATATCAACAACTGAAAAAATACCTAAACAGAAAAACAAAAGATAACACATTTCCAACAGTAAGCAACCATCCTATTCTAATAGTAGGGAAGGTCATAATTTGTGAAATCTTAACCATAGAATATCTAAAGAAATTCATGGAACTACAATGGACTCAATTTGAATATTTGACCAATGCAAATACCTAAAAACAGAATATGCAGCGGGATCACTTTTTTTTTCAAGAAGATGCAGCTGTGTATTGAATATCTTACTTGTGCAAAAGAAAAAGGAGTTTATGATGGGATGTATGTCAGATAGAGAAAAATGAAACAAGATAGCTCCCATCTAAAGCTTACATGGGAGGTGAGCCATTGAATAATCATAGTTTGAAGTTTCAATTTTGTTAGGCATCTACCCATGTGAAAATCAGAAAATTTTCATAAATTCCACTCAGATATCTGAAAAATCTAAGGAAATTGGGAAAATTAAAAAAAAAGTATTAGAAAGGATATGGAATTTATTTATAAACTAAATAAAATCTTTAAAAATATATAATTGCATACTCAACCAGTCAACCTACAATAAATAATTCTGTTTTCTTTTTAATAAAAATTTTCTTTTACTATCAAAAAACAATAGCCAACTAGATACCACGAATAATAGAAGGCTAAAAATCTTAAATATACATTTTCTTAGATGAGTTTAAATTAGCATTGATAACAACATTTAGTAATTATCATGCAAGGCGAGCATCCTTAAAAACCAAATACAACTTTTATATCCTAACTCCTTCATTTTTAAAAAGATCTTTATATTCTAGGTTATCTAATTCAAAATGTTGACTAAGAAGTCTAGAATCAATAAATCCAAATGATTTTATTTAATTTTAGGAAAGATGTAGTATGAGCATTTTGTATGCCTCACGATTGGTATTCTTTTTTATTTTTGGTCAGTAACAGGTGACTTTATCAATTATGAAGAAAAAATTCTGTACATGCACTGGTTGTGTAAAGTGATTCAAAAACAGTAATGGGCTGGTTAAAAGGAAGCTCCAACACACAATGGCAGTACAGGTGCATGATGAGGGAATTAAGAAGTTTAGCAAGGGGTATGGTCATAAGTATAGCTTGGGTGCCAAATGCCAGCCAACAGTGTAGCAGATGCATTAGCTAAGCAGTGTTAATAGGACAGAAAGATTTGGGGGACAATTGTAAAATGATATGCTAGTAATAGGAATCAGGTAGCTATAGGGACCTGAGTAGAGGGCTACTAGGTTTTTTTGGGGTGAAAGCTTGTCAGCTTGTATCATAAATATTTTTCCATGCTCAATAAATTTCAGTTATTCATACAAAAAAAAAAAAAAAAAATCTTTACATGCAGTAGTATACCTTAATGACTCGAAAATGTTTTCAATTTGTTTCAGCAAAATTAGTGAAATTTCCACAAACTTCCACCAAAATTAAGAAAATTTGCACAGAACAAACTGAAAATTTTATTGATATATCAAATTCTTCTGAAACATTGGGGGAAATATTGAGGGATACTTGAATTTTTTTTTTTTTGCAAGATGTCTTCATTTTGCTCATTCGAGAAAGTGTCTATAACCAATATGTGATATAGTATTGGTCTATAGTCCTAGTACCAGCGAGGATGGAGAGAACATCTGGATCACTGATCAAACAATTTTCTCCTCCCAAAACTTCTTATCACTATTTTTAATTTTGAAATGATCATGACAACAAACCAGCAGGAGATATGATTACACATTGTACTACTTTTTGTATAGTTTGAGGGATTCTCTCCCTCCACATTAATAGTTTAATATAATTTACTTTTAACCAAAAAAAATCATATCCAAACAAACTTTAAGATATCTGGTATGGATCTCATTGTTTTTTTTTTTTTTTATCAATCAGAAAGAAACATCTCATTGGTTTTCAGATCCTGCTGCCATGCATGTCAACCATCTGAACCTACAAATCACTTTAAGTTTACCTGTAAGTACACTTTTTTTACAACCGTAGAACTACAAAGTATTATGCAACCCACTTTATAGGCTGGAAGCACTCCACCTATCCCTATACTTGGTATAACTCTATAAGCATTGCACTTCAGCCCAAAAAATGCTGCTGTCTATTAACCCATAACTCTGCCAACATGTTAGCCATTCCATTTACTGACCTTTTGACCCATTGAAATGATACTTCCATTCCCCTTATCAACCACTTAATCTTCTAGATAACTAGTCTATATTCCCACATCACTTGGCTGTAATCATGAAGACAACTGATTACCATTTTAGAGTCCCCTTCTATCATTAATTTTCTGATATTCATTGACTGTGTTAGCTTCAGCCCTTGAAATACAGTCAATGGTTCTGCTCTTAACGGGTTCCCAATCCCATCTCCAATAGGCCCCAAGAATGGTGCTTTGATAGCACCATTACCATTAGCACCCCTCCTACACCTGAAGGGCCTAGGTTGCCAATGCCACTTCCATCTTGAGACAATTCAAGTTCAAGAGCGAGTAAATAACTAAGAAAACCAAAACAACATTTGAACATGCTCGTATTATGATATAAAGGTGGACAATTTGAAAAATAAATGCATGAAAAGTACAATTCTCTATCAAAAAACAAAGCAAAGAAAACCTTAATTTGATCCACGATACTATTAACTGTAGAAAATTTAATTTGAAAAAATGAAGCATTATTTTATCATGAAACGGTTTCCATATTTACATAAGCCTGGAGGAAAAAAGGTTTTGAAAATGTTAACAATAGGAAAGCTAGATAAGCAGCAAAAAAACCACATGCCATAAGAAAAAACCTGCATCAAGAAGAACACGCCCATTGCTGCCATATGTTCCCCTGACTGTACATGCTGAAACCCAACAAACCGGATCTGCATAGCAAGCAGCATTCCCAGCACATACATGCAATTATAAGCTACGTACAATCTCATCGAGTATCTCCCAGTAATCAGAAGAACCATAACATAAAGCGGGATCAAATTAATGATAAAGACATATCCACCCCATGCAGAAACCATGTAAAAGTACCCGAAAGCTGAAGCCAAAGCCCAAGCAAGGGACCCAGTATTCACTGCTTTAATAAACAAATAGAAAGTGAGTAGTAACGCAAAGATTGCCACTCCCTCATTGTCGTAAGAACCGGCCACAGATCTCGAAATGTAACCTGGGCATATGGCAATTAATGCAGCAGCAACAAGCCCAGCCCCGGAATCCCAAATCTCTTTGCCAAAGAAGTAAGCTACCAGAGTAGTGTTAGATGCAAAGAACGGGGCAGTTAAGACACAGACCTCCCGGATATGGACTGCGAACCTCAGAAATCTCAAAACCCAGTAGATGAAAGCCGCAGTAACCATGAGACCCGGGTAGAGAGTCCCTCCAATGATCCGACCTAACGGATACCAACTCTCGGAGTCGAACCAATTCCAGAACTCATAGAATCCCTTCTCCGTCAAGAAAACCGTAGTTCGGTAATTGAAGTAAGGATCAAACTCATGGATCATGCTCTCATAACGAAGCACACTAAACAATCTAGTGATGAACGCCAAGACGTAAACGAGGCAAAGAATGCTGACACGAATCAGGAGTTCCTGCTGCTTGACCTTGAGCTTTAGCGCTTTCGGAGAAAAGTTAAATAGATCGGCTACTGTGCCACTTTGCGCAGGCATTGGCGTCTGACTTGATTCAGATTTGGCACCCATCGTGAGAATTCGGATTTCCAATAGCTTGAATCTAATGTGATCTAAGGATCGATTAAAGTCGCAGGCATTCCATAATTAACACATATAAACCCTAGATCCTCACATAAAGTAGACTAATCTGCAGCAAAGCAATTGAATCTGGAATTGATGAGTAGGGTTTCTCGAATAGACTAACAAAAAGTGGTCAATTTTCTTAATTGATAGTTAAAAGTGATCGAAATTTGAAGAATAAAACGAGATCTTACGTGAAAATTTAACTGCGATCAAATCCTCGAAGTGGTTATCTGCATTGGACAACCCTAAAAGAGAGGTTTTGTAGAGTGTTTTTGGGCTTTGGCTCAGAGGGTTTTAGACTTCAAACGTAGCTATCGAATCAAGCAGTAGAACAAAAATACAGAAGTCCACTCTCGCATGGAATATACAGCGTGCGCATTGTGCACCTCGCGTTAATCGGAGAAATTCATATTGATAAATCCGTTTATTCAAAGTGAGCGGATCGTAGGCCCAGCCCTGAAATATACGGGCCTGGGCCCAGGTGTGGTGCCTGGACTAGGCCTGACACTTAAGCCCAGCCTGGCCGCATTATATATTGCATACGTTTTAGGGTTAAAAATAACGAGTTATTTTCAATTATAAAAAATAAAAATAAAAATAATTCAGTGTAACGTTTTTTGGTATCTTGGCTTGATAACAATTCATAAAAGTGAGAAATTGAAGAGGCTGTTTTAGAGATTGAGGATAATGTTTTATGGTTGTCAAAAATTCTTCGCTCTTACCATTTCTCTTAAACTTAGGCCTTGTCACATATTTATCATTTCGAGACAAACAATTATTACAAATTTACTATATTACCCCTCCATTTGAGTTTATCATTGGCCAAAATTGTGCAATGATGAAACCTACTATACCGTCTCTCCATCATGGATCTGGGGGGTCTTCATCCAAATGAGCTTGGACCCTTTGGGGTAGAGGACAAAATAATGACTTTTCTTTTTTGTTTATGGTCCGTTTGGTTTATAATAGGAATTGGAATGAAAATCTTTCAGAATTGGGATCGGAATATTCCCATAGTCTGTTTGGTTCGGACAGGAATGAGAATAGGAATTGGAATCGGCAAAATTTGTATTTCATTCCCAAGGAAGGGATAGAGAATGATCATTCTCTCAAATGGGGGAATGCCACTCCAGCAATAATGAGAATGGGATTCTGATTCCACCCAACCAAACAGTTGGAATCATAATGGGCAATCTGAACTACTAATATTAAATCCATTACATCCCATCTTATTAATTATTGCATTTAAGGTATTAGCTCACATCCCCTCTTATTAAATACTACATTTAAATATTAAGTGAGCATTGTGGATTTTTTTCTCGATTAAAACTAGGCCTATAAACGGATTGAATTCAAATCGAATCAGGCTAGATTCGAATTCAAAACCGATTATGAACACAATATTCGAATTCGATATCCAATGGATATCAAATATTTGAGTTTGAATTCAATTTCGATTATCAATTCGAATTCGACCGATGGCAGTGGTGGTCAGTGAGCGGTGATGGCAGTGCAGCGATGGCGAAAGAGGGATAGTGAAGATGATGGTTGTCGTCAAGACTACCATCACTAACGATGGTAGTGCGGCGGATGAGAGATAGAGGAGAAGATGATGGTTGTCATCGATGATGGTGGTCGTTGTCGAGACTACTATCACTGACGTTGTTGTTGGTGGTTGCTCGAGTGGCTGTGATAATGAATCGAGATTTGAAAGAGAATAGATAGAGGAGAAGATGATTAGATGAGATACGAGAGAAAACTGAGGAGAGGCTGAGGATGAGGGGCGGTGGTGGTTGCTTGGGCGATGGTGACGGCGAAGAAGGGATGATTAAGGTTAGGGTTTGCAAGAAGATGCAAACTGGAGAGAGAGAGAGAGAGAGAGAGAGAGTTGTTGCATATAGTGAGAGTTGAGAGAGGAGAGGGTGGCAAGGTGATGGCGAGAGAGGAGAAAACTTGGGCTGAGAAGAAAATGTAGAGTGGTTTATGGTTTAGGGCTGGCTGACTAGGGGTTTGATGAATAGATTTCTGCATTTATCCCTAAGGGATTTTATTTATTACATTAATGTACAAAAATATATTTATCGGATCAGATCAATGCATATCCGAATTCGAGCAGATAATTTAATCAATAAGAAATTAATATTCGAATTCAATCGAATATCTGTTTCGAATTATTCAAGTTTGATTCGATTGTGTCGAATCTCGGATTCAAATTTGGATTTTTGAATACCGTTTACAGGCCTAATTAAAACATCCCTACTTTTGAATTTGGTCATTCTCTAACTATGGGGTAGAAAATATAATTTAAATAATTATTTTGCACTTCATTTAACTCTCTCTCATTAAGGTGTTAATTCTCATTCCCTCTCCTTAGATCATTTGTTTGAAGCATTTTTGTTTCTCACTAAAAAAAATATACTAATTAAATTTACCGCCAAATTTTTCAATAATATAAAACTTGTGCTCAAAACTAATATGAAAAAAACTACCATTTTGAAATTGGTCAACCAATGGTATCATAGTTAAATAATAAAATTTAAAAAATAAATAAAAATGTACAAAAATACAAAAAATGTAAAAAAAAAAGCATATATCAAATATTATATATTTATCATATTAAACAACAATAAGTATGATAAATGAGAAGTATTTTTATTAATGATGCAAATAAAATACAATATTTAAAACTGACATATAAACGAAACCATTTTCCTGCTCAAGTGGTGGGCGTGGATCAAATGGTTCAACCTTTTAGGTAAAATGGGTCAACCCATGATGTCATAATTAAATATTAAAATTTTTAAAAAAGATAGCAACACAAAAAAAAATTAAAACATATAGAATTTTTGTAAAATATACTTGGGTGCATCTCTAATATTATGTATTCATCATATTAAACAAAATAAGTAGACACATAAGAGGTATTTTGCCTAATGATAGAAATATAATAAAAGTAAATTAACTTGAAAAAAATATTTTTGCATTTAATTGGTGGTCAATGGTCCATAGGGATGCAAAATGGGAAAGCTTAACTTGAGCTCAGATTGGCACAACTCACAAATTTAGACAATCTTACTTGAATTTTTGGTCCTCGAGTTGGGCCTAGGCATATGCTCGAAATTTTGGTCTTTTCTATTTTTCAACTTGGGCCCAAGCGTAGCCCCATTTAATTGGTGGCCAATGGAATGGTCCATAACCATAAGAATGCAAATTAAGCTTAACTTGATCCCATATTGACCCAACTCACAAATTTAGATAACCTAGCGTGGATTTGCATTCCAGAAAAATGGTGTTTGAATTGTCTATGTGCTTGAATTCCAGAAAAATGGTGTTGTCTTTTGCAGGGTTTATGTCTGTTTTCCATATGGTTCCTGTATAAACCTATTTCATATGTTTGATGTGTTTGACCACGCACTAAGCCATCGGTAGTTAGTGCATTTAATGTTTCACTCAAAAAAAAAAAATCCTTTTGCGACGTTTAATTTAAATGTCGTCGAAGTTCTTTTTTTTTTTCGTGACGTTAATGACATATTTTAATGACGTTTGTTATAAACGTCATGAAAACTTAACTTTTAATGACATTTAGTTTATATTTTGGTAAATTGAATCCCTTTCTCCACAATTGCTTTAGTATATATAATAATTACTATTATTATTTATTATTGTTTAACTTTAAAGCTTTTATCAATTAGTTATGAAATGAATTAATTATAAAGTTAAGTCATAGCTAATTTGAAAATAATTATAAAAAAATACTTATATAAATGAATATTTTAAATGCTTAAATATTTTAATTGTTTTTATTATTAAGCGAAAAGTTTAATTATTAGTATTTCATTTTAATTTTGTTAATGTAGTTAATATTTTCAAATAATCAATTATATTATTATTTTTAATTATAATTTGAATATTCAAATAAATTTATCTATTTTATAATTAATTATACTTATAATATATAATATTTTAGAGTATAAAATATATATTTTTATATATAGTATACACTATATAACATAAAAATATATTATTTTTTTTGTGCTATTGAGTCAAACTTAAACTCATCAAATATTTAATCAAATGAATCTCGAATCAATAAATAAATTTTGAATCAAACTCAAACCCATGAATATTTATTTCAATTCAACCGAGTCGACGCATGTTGAAGTTGGACTTGACTTATCTTGACTACACTCTTAATTAAATAGTTGATTCATTAATATTAATAAATTAGATATTTAATTATTATTTATTGAATATTAATTATTGCATTATTACTTAATTATCTAATTAATTGGTTATTTGACCAATCGCAAACCAATTATTAACCGGGACAGTCAAGACAAAATCACAAGCCTAAAACCAACTTGATTAATAGTTTGGACAAAATTATAACCTATAACTATCCCGATCAATAACCCAAAACTGACCCAATTATTTACACAAATAACAATTTTACTTTTATCAAACATAAAAAAAAATAACTAAAACTAAAACCAATATTTTTCAAACCATCATTGACTTACATGGTCAGACCATTCGATTTAAAATCTATCTAAGCATCTAGTTATGCTTTTCACCATAACTTCTTTTTTGGCCCAAAACTATTCGGATGGGACAGTTAAACCATTGACCCAAAAATCGATGGCCAAAATGGTTCTGGATAATGGACTGTTCAGGTGTCTGGTTCCGAGTCGAACAAATTATCCCCTCAATCTTGGCATATCCGAACCTATCAAACAACATCATTAAACTCCAGATACCTCAAAACATCTGCCCATAAAGTTTTAACCCTATATTCCCCCTTTTGCCGTTCCATTAAACAAAAATTCCATTTCGGAATATCCCGTTTAGGGGTGCTAACAGATCATATCAGATTCAAGTTAGGGTATATTTGAATCCAATTCAACACTGTTTATGTCAAATCCGATCCTATCCATATCTGATAGGAAATGATTTATTTGATGTTACTTTTGTGACTTAAATAAAACATTGCAAAAGTTTGAGTTTTAGTGACATTAATTGTAATATAATATTTTAGAATATTTGATCGAATACTTAATCAATTATATTATTGTTTTTATTTTTTGCTATTGAGCCAAACTCAAGCTCATCGAATATTTAAGTGAATCAAGTTCGAATCAAAATCGAACTCAAACTCAAACCCATGAGTATTTCAATTGAGCCAAGCCAACACATGCTTAAATTTGGCTTAACTTAGCTTGACTATACTTCTAATTAAATAGTTGATTGATTTACTTACATAGTTAGTTCACTAGTAATTAGTAATTATTATTTGTTAATATTTGTTTTATTAATATTTATTAATAATTGACTAGCAATTTCCATTGAACTCACCTAGGGTTGTCAATGAATCGAGTCTAGGTCGGGATACATTGTCCTTTATCTTAGGGTTGTCAATAGAATTGTTTGGGTTGGGCWTTGTCTTTGTATTAATAGAATATACTCAGGCCTGGCCTAATCAGTTGGCTTAGGTTTTAAGCCCGGTTGAACCATTAACCCATCAACCCGTTCAATCATTTTGGGTGTTTTTTATTTTTAATTATTTTTTAATTATTATTATCAGAATAAGGCGTTCATTCGAATCGAACAGTTGAACCGTCACCTAGAAACCGACCGATAGGGAGAATGGTACCGTTTATAGGTCATTTTTTAAAACAATGGTTGAACCGCTGACCCAAAAACCAGTGGACAAAACGATTATGCTTCGGGTCAGTTTTTAAAACATTGATTAAAACTTCAACTTCATTTATAAAAAAATAAAACCTATTTTTTAATATAAAAAAAGGAAAAACCTAAAACTCTAAACCCGCCCAAACCCATACACCAAAATTTCATTCTACTTCCCGCGTTGTGCTTTCTGCTTCTCCATCTCTCGCTCACTCTTCTTCTCTCTTTCTCTCCTACTTCACCCGCGTCGTTTTTTCTTCTTCTCTCTTTCCCTCCACTCCTCATATGCTGTAGGTCATTCTGGGGCTGCTTCAAACCCACTCCTCCTCTGTAAGTCATTTTGGGGCTGCTTCAACCTCATTTTCTAATTACGATTTGAGTTCAGGTATTTTTTATTTTTTTATTTTTCCTCTTTGTTTTGCATGGAAAATCTTCCATTGGAAATATTCATCAAACCTAGAAATTTCTACCGATTATCTATTCGAAAATCTTATAGTGGAAAATCTTTTATTTTTATTTTTTATTTTTCATCTGTTTTATTTCTACTGATTCACCGAACCTAGAAATTAGTGGTGTGCATATGTACATTATGTTTCTGCGGTCTTTTTTTGGGAACTTCTCCTTTTGCTTAATTGATGTTGGAGCTTCTCTTTTTGCTTGTGGAAGAATGTTGCTTTAGGAAGCATTGCTCTTGGCAAGGGAGCTTCTCTTTTTGCTTAATTGATGCTGTAGTCGATCATGGAGTAGGAGACTGTTTACCTTGCGGGAGTGCAATGCAAAATGAATTCTGTTTCTCCTCCATTCCCAGAGAAAAGAAAATAGAAACATTAACTCTATATAGCGGCCTTTCACAGATAGGTCTCCTGCCCAAACCCACAAGTCCATAACCCCATGAAGGAAACTCGAAGACAGAAAAGTAAAAAACAAAAATTATAATAGATTATCAGTTCTGAAGGAAACTAAAAGTTCTATAGATTTTATTGACAGGTTAGTTCCTTTAATCTAAGAGGGTCTTTTAACTGATCATTTTAATTAATTCCTTTGCATCTCTCTAATCCATTCATTCATTTAAATTTTCAATGTTTTCTTCCATCCACTCTGCCTTTTTTTGGTTGTTTTCTATTTTTCTTTATTGGGGTTCGYGGAAATGGATTAGTTTGGTAACTGCTCCAAGTATTGTAACTTAATTACTTTGTATTTCTGAACTATGCGAAATAAACTGCAGTATGCATGAGAGCAGACATATTCCAGGAAGAGTTCGAGTGGTTATAATATATGCATTTGCCAAATTTCTTTTTGTAGTACCCAAAAGAAAACTGTACTAAACTACTAATACATTCTGAAGTTTTTTGCTGGTATCTGTTGTGCCTTTGTTTTATCTTACTTTGTAACACAATGGAGTGTTTTGAGCTGAAGATTTTTTTTTTTTTGTTTTTAAATTCATTCTCTTTTCTGCTGTTTTTGTTTTTTTTTTTCCAGCCCAAGGATGTTCACCGATGCAGGACAATTCCATATTTTTTGACACCATCATCAACAGCAGCCGGAGGCAGAGCTAATTAAATTCAATGTCTCCTGCAACACCAACGGTTGTTTCCTCTGTGCAGGAACTTTATGAGTTTGCAAGCTTAGGTCCTCTTGTAGAGAAACTGGGTCTGACCTCAAAAATAATTGCAGAGACTTTTCATAAGTGGTTAAAACGTGGGCTTTACCCAGATTTTATCTCTTTTATATACCGGTGTTCTTCTGGTGTGAAGATCAAATTTTCCATCACAAGTCAATGTTCAAGGATTCAGAAGATATCGCTCCTTTAGTGGTATAGATATCCTTTTGGACAGCTGAGGTGCGAAGATCAATATGGAGTTTCTGAGAGCTATAATTAAATCTTAGGAAATCCGCATCAATAGATGATTTCTATTTGACAGCTGAGGATCAGGTAGCGCAAGTAAGGCTAGATTATATGCATACATATATAGATACATATTTTGATACATGCATGCATATATAGTTTATACATACATTTATGTCAAATTTTGTCATGAGATTGATTGACAAACCCAAATCTGATTCCAACCCAAGTGCATCAAATTTCAATGCAGGTTAGGTTTAGGTTTAACTCAAACTTGGCCCAACCTACTTTACTTGCACCATGACGATCCAATTGTTTGGGTAAAATGGGTAAACTAATGATGTCATAATTAAATAATAAATATTAAAAAGCATATATAAATACAACAAAATGGAAAATGCAAAATAAAAATTTAAAGAAAATTTTAACATATATAACATGTTATAAGTTTATTATATAAAAAATAAGTGGGATAAACAATAATTAAATTTAGAAGTAATTATGGAAATGAAATAGAAATTTTAAAGTTGCCCAAAAATGAAATCATTTTTTTTTCTTAAGTCAAAATGATGAATGCATGATGATTGATGTCATAATTATACAGTAAAACTCAAAGATAGATCAAAATTAAAAATATAGAAAACAAAAAATTGTCTATAAACACATCTTTAATATTATATATTTATTATATTAAACAAAAACAAATATGATAATAAGTAGTATTTTTATTATCAATGAAAATGAAATACAAAATTTAAATCCATTTGCACACCATGCTTTGATTACTTATCTTTTTAACAGGTTTTGGTAAATGTATTGAAATTATTATTGTTATTTGAAATTGCCACATGCAACTCATGTGCATATTTACAAATTTAAGAGAAATGGGTAAAAGTGAAATAGAGTTTTACATAATAATCCTATATTTTATATAAACTACATCTATAGTTAAATTACAAACATCCACCTTGCACTTGGGGAAAAATGACACTTAGCCCTCAAGCTTTGTTTTGCAACAAGGACCCCCTAAACTTTTGGATTCCAAAACTTTGCCCCTACCACTAGCATTTTATTAGTTAGCTTCATAAAATATTATTGTAAACATTTTTAAAAGCCCAAACTACTTGTTATTTCATGAGACGATTTTGCTATTTAATTTAGTTTTTCTAAAATCCTAACTCACATATTTCTTTCAACAAAGTTCGTCTTGGTAAGGCATTGAGAATGATGTGTGCTTTAGAATTAATGGCTATTTTCATCATTTTGATATTTGTTGTTGCTAGCCCATAGAATCTTGATTGGGCAATTTACTAATTATACTTTCAACATTAACCCCCTCAAAAGGTTAGGAGGGAAAGTGTAGGAATTCATAAGTTAGAGGTCATTGTCACAAAGCATAGTTCAGGGTGTAATAACATCGAGACCGGATCTGTTCCTCACACCTGGTGCCTCACACTCACAACCTACCATGCATTGGGAACATCTCCGTACTTGTTAAATTATCATTCACAGGAGATGTTCCCAATGCACGATGGATGTGCCTGTGAGGCGCCCATTTGTGAGGAGCAGATCTCTTTATTGTGCTTCAATAACACTCGTTGAGTACAAGGTGACGATTTGTAATTTACCCTACATTTATGTGTATTTGTACGTGTGTGTATTATTTTACATGCATCATATATTATATCTATAACATGGTCATATTGTTGCGAAAAATATGAACATCTGTAATACATTAAATCTTGTATCATTCGATCATGTTAGGGACCAACAAAATTAAAGATGCCAATTGTGACATTTCCATTTATTAGTGGTTCACGTTTTTTTTTCTCCCTTCATAGTGCATTTTTTGTAACAAAGCATTTTTCATATAAATATTATAAGATAGCATACAAGGTCATTGTCGCAAAACATATTTTAGGGAGTGTTAGCACCCTTGAGTACAAGGTGGCAATTTGTAATTTATCATACATTTGTGTGTGCCTATGTAATATTTTATATTATACCATGTCATATGTATAAGCAGAGTCCTATTATTGCCCACTGCCAAGAAATGAATGTATGTTTGTGATTCGTTAAATCTTGTATCAAATTCACTTTAGAAACCAATAACATTACATAAATTTTATACAAATATTATATTATTTTATATGATATAAAATATTATATATCTAATATTTTAGTTTTTCTCTTTAGAAATCAATTATTTGTATTAATCGATGGATGGCGGTTGGGAAAGGAATTCTTGTTATCTTGGTGGGGGAGGGGAGAGGGGAGAGATGGAATGGATGATTCAGCCTTGCAAGAGTGAAGAATATTAGAGATCGTGTAAACTTATGAGCGACGTAGATTGGTTACAAGTCTATTCAAAGAAAGAATGCAACAGGGACAATGATTCATGAAAAAAAGCTTTGGCAATTAGAATTATTAGTGATAGAGGGAAAGAAAATATCATAAGCCTGAGGGAGACAAACTAAAGGTGTTGGGAGAATTGATAAAATTTTCTATAATGGATTTCACGTACGACAAACTCATACATATTCAGATTTGATGATAAATTGGATTGTGATGCAAAATTTGGAACAAATGATCCTAGTGTTTCAACCAGGATTTGCTTCTTCGAACATGCCAACTCGCTCTTATGAAGTAAATGGCTATGAATTTTGGATTCATCTATATGGATTTTTGCTTGAATCCCTTACTGCTACTATGACAATTAATGAGTCCGCCACTTAAAAAATAAAAGAGTGCATCACCCTTATTCCTAAGTGTAATAACTCGGAGTGGATTAATGATTTTAAGCCCATTAGCTTGTGTAATGTTATTTACAAGATCATTTCCAAAATTCTTGTTAACAGAATTAAGCCATACCTGAATGACATTATTTCTCTATTTTAGAGTGTTTTCATTCAAAATAGACAAATTATTGATAACATTCTCATTGCTTATGAAATGATGTATACTATAAAAAAAAGAGAGGAAAGTAGGGGATGCTTGCATGTGAGGTTGATATGGAAAATGCCTATGATAAGTTAGAATGGGACTTTATTAGGAGAGTGCTTGTTAAATTTGGATTCCATATCAAATGAATTAATTAGGTGATGGAGTGCATCACTTCAGTTTTTTTTTGGATTCTCTTAAATGGATCTCCTACTTGTACTATTAGGGCCACTAGGGGTATTCGTCCAGGTGACCCCCTCTCCCTGTATATTTTTGTCCTTTGTGCTGAAGCCCTTGCAAGTAATTTTCATAAAGAGGCTATGGGTGACAAGAATGATATTGGCTGTAAAGCCTCTAAGGGAGGTTCGGAAATTCCAATTATTCAGTTTGCGGATGATTGTATCATTTTTGCTAAATCCTCTATTAATGCTTGTATTAAAATCAGGGAGATCTTGGATAGATTTGCAAAAGCATGTAGTCAATTGCCCAATTATTTTAAATCAACCATTTCCTTTTTTAAAAACATCCCCAATAGGCATTAGAAAATTATGGCCAGAATTCTTAAAATCCCAATTGGGAATAGGAATACAACCTATCTTGGTGCTCCCATTATCGAGGGTAGAGTGACAAAAAAAAATGAATAACAAACTGGCTGGTTGGAAAAAAAATTATCTCTCTAATTGGGAGATTAACTTTAATTAATTCTTCTGCCTTAATGGTTTTTCAATTTGTTATGCAAACTTTTAAAATTCCAAGTAATGTGGTTGCTGATTTAGAAAAAGACCAAAGGGACTTTATTTGGTTGAACGCAAAGAGCCAAAATCCCATTCATCTTGTCAGGTGGAGCAGGGTTTGCTCTCCCAAAAAATGGGGTGGATTAGGCGTGAGGAATCTCAAATGGATGAATAAGGCCATTCTTGCTAAGTTGGGGTGGAAAATTTTAACTTGCCATGACAACCTTTGGGTCAAGGTTGTGACTAATAAATACCTTAATAACAACAATTTGTAGGATGCAAAAAAAAAAAAAAAGAATAGTTCTTCTTGGGCTTAGAGAGGCATTTTGACTTCAAGAGAGCTTCTTAAAAGGGGTTCTATATAGAGAATTGCCAATGGAAAAAATGTAAATTCATGGTTGGATTCATGGGCTGGTAATGGTCCTCTGATTGAATTTAATAATAGGAGATATTTGATTGATATGGATTTGATGGTTAGTGGGGTAATGGACTTTGAAAGGAGAGTGTGAAAAGAGGATCTTATTAAGTTTATTACCATTTACCAGGGCCAACCTATATTAATTCCCCATGGGGACTATGAAGATAAAAGAGTTTGGAATTTCACCTCGGATGGTAACTTCTCGGTTAAAACAACTTATGAATAGGAGTGTTGGTTTAATAGTGGTGAGTGTCTTATTGCCAATTATCAAATTAATATTTGGAAGCTCATTCTCCCCCCCAAAATTAAAACTTTTCTCTATCTCTTATTAAATAATAGACTTCTTATAAAAAATAAATAATCTTATAGCCAGGGGTCTAGGGATTGATCTAGCTTGTGTCTTTTGTGGGGAGGTAGAGGACTTTGATCACTTGTTTATTTGATGTGAAAACTCTAAACAAATATGGAGTAGATTAGATGAGGAATTTCCAATTCCCAGGAACTCTTTCTTGTCGGTCAAGCAGTGGTGGTCTTAACTTAACAAGCCAAATAGTTATTCTAGGGATAATTTCCTGAGAGAAAAATTTGCTTGTGTTTATTGGTTCATTTGGAAGGATAGAAATAATTAATGTTTTAATGGAGGTTTCAGTAATGCAGAAAATATCTTTGGTAGAGCTTTTGCTTACTGGAATGAAATTAAAGAAGTTTCTTCTTGCATGGGTAACACTAATAGTAAAAGTTTAAATCTTGTTAAGTGGTATAAGCCCAAATCTGATTGCATCAAAATCAA